GAACTACTTGGAATCCTCTTAAAAAAAGAAAAGAAAAAAGAAAACACCCACACACACACACACACACACACACACCACACACCACACACACACACACACACACACACACACACACACACACACACTCAACACCAACCATGCTCATTTGTTATTTCTGGTCAGATTCCAAAAGAATAGCACAGAAAAAGACTTACCATCTTTTCAAATTTCGTTTCATCCCATGTCTGAAGTCTTGAGATGGACTCGTTCATTATTCTCTCCTTGAACATGTTCACCTTTTCTTTTTCTATCACGTCAGCATTGCTGGTCAGGAGGAAGCACTTGCTGTCTCTCGCCCTCCCTCTGCCTGTCAGAAAACATTTTATTTGTACTTTGGATGTAAAACACTGATGTTATGTGAAAATAGATACAAAAACTGTGAGAAGTATTCCTAGAGTTTGACTTTGATTCATGGCATCCTGCTTTCTGGAGAAGCTGGCCTGAAGAGTGGGCTCCAATGCAGGTTCCAGCCTGCATGGTAAACATACAGAGAAACCAGGATCCACCTGCAGCTCGTTTCCTTAGGCTCTCCAGTGATGCAATGTGATTCCACAGCCATCGTGTCAGAAACACTCACTTACAGATGAGCTAGCCTGAGCCCTCAGTCATGGCTCCATGAGCCCTCGGTCATGGCACCATGAGTACTCGGTCATGGCTCCATGAGCCCTCAGTCATGGCACCATGAGCACTCCCACCTGAACCCTCATGTGGGAGAGAGGGTTTCTCTCCCACACTCTCACCCTGGAGTGTGGGTGAGAACTTGTCAGTGCCATTACAGAGACAGGTATAACGAGGGTCATGGGCATTTGAACGAGAGATTATTCTGGGAGAACTAGGTTACATGCAATGGAGACAGAAAAGGACATAAAATACAAAGGGGCAGTATGTGAGACATTCAACAGGCTGTAAGCAGAGTCTGGTTGGCTGGACTGGCTAGTAAGCAGAGGAGGAGAATGAAAAGCAAATGGGAATAATGAGCGGCACACACACAGCCATGATTCAGGATGGGTAAAATGGGGTGAGGGGGGGCTGTTCCTGGGGAAACAAGGGAAGGGAGGGAGGACTCTGGAATACAGGAGCTACTCACCACAACCATGAAAGGTCTACTCGCTGACGGGCAAAGCCTCAGGCTTAGTGGATATTATATTTTTGTAAATATGCCAGTGAACGCTGGGCATTAAGCGGCACCATTGTGAAGAGACACAACGGAGTATTACGGGTAAAACTATACCCTCCCAATCCTGACCAGGTAAGTCAGCTTTTAGACTAACAGAGTCGTGTGTGCCATCAGTCACATAACACAGCTCAGAAAAGAAGGAAGGCCAAACGCCACAAGCCAGACAAAACGGGAGCCAGGTGGGAATGACATCAGTGGCTCTCACCTCTGGTTTGGATCATTTTGATGACATTGCCCACATACTCATACAGGATGACCAGATTGCACTGAGCAATGTCAATGCCTTCATCAGCGACCGAGGTAGCAATCAGAATGTTGTTATCTCCACTGGCTCTGAATGCTTCCAGGGCACACTTCTGGGCTGGGAGTGTCATCCCTGTGTGGGATAAAGAGGTAGTTCAACTCACTCATAAAAGAATTATGTTCTTGGAAAACCAGCTACTAATTAGGAACCATTTAAAAGTGAAAAGTCATTTTTACCTTGAAAAACAAAAAAAGCACACAGTACATCAGATTTTACCTAATTACTATTTTTCCATTTGGCAGATGAAGAAAGTAAGGCATATAAGTTATAACGTGTTTCACAGCCTAGGAACTAAAAATGCTACCGATAAGGGAATCTGAAAATGTTCAGACAGCAAACAACCTGAAGCTTTTTTTTTTTTTTTTTTTAATTCACATTTTTTTCTGGGTTAGTTAGGAAACAAGAAGGAACTATCCAGGAAACAAAAATTGTCACCATCATCTTGGCCTATTTATTCATTCACCTGACACTCAGTCAGCAAGTATGGACTATGGTTGGTCAGGTAAGAATATGATGGCTAAAGATGACATTTTTATCTACAAGAATGATAAGAAGGAAGCCATGGCAGAGGAAGTGGGGTGAGAACCACACAATGGAAATGTTGGGGGAGGTCAGCTCAGGTGTGAGGACAAGGATGGCTACTGGGTACAAGCAGGGCGCTGAGAAAGGTCTCAATACATGATGGAAAGATGGATGGATGCATCGATGGATGGACAGATAAATGTATCAATAGAAGGAAGGGAGGGAGGGAGAAAGGAAGACTGGCAGGATCCACACATGCATGGATGAACAGATAAGAAAACAGTGTCTATTTGTACGTCAGTTACAAAGTTTGAAAATCAAGTTGGATTCATGTTGGAGAGATGGTGAAGAACTTTGAGATCCAGTCCCATTAAGATAGTATTAGACTTGAAGCCATACTTTCAAAACTCGAGTCCACTCTACGTTTATGAGATCTGGAAATTCCATGTGGGAAAAGTAGCAGAACAATGAGTGAGGACCAGGAGGACAGGGGTGGAGGCAGGAAGAACAGGGTAATGACTTGTCATACAGCAGGAGATATTCTGGGAGCTGGGCCAAAGCTGTGATGAGGACGAGCAACACAGGATTCTTCCAGGTAACGATGACCTCCCACCCTGTGACCACACTAGCTAGAGTTCAGGGTTGCCTGGACCATTTTTAAACTATAAACTATGCAGTAGTAGGCAGAACAAAATCTACCCTGCAAAGAATAACAATATAATAGATGCAGAATATTTTCATTTCCAGAATTTGAAGAGAGGCATGAGCTAGGAGTGCTGAAAAGCAACTCCGGCTTTGTCTGCAGGACACAAAAGGAGGCAGTTTCCTGCAGGGAACCAGACTAGTGTGGCTTCCGGCATTTGGGACATGTGCTGGCCTTCTGAGGCACTGACTAGGTCAGGCAGAGAGACAGCTGCGGCCATTCATGTGAAGGGAGCCTGCAGACATGGTTAAGATCCCTAATCAGTTGAGTTACATGAGAAGTGAGTTCATCTAAGGGGGCCTGACCTTTTGAACGAGGGTGTGGGCCTTCCCTGAGCTCAGAGACTTAAACAATTCATATGCCGGGGCTTCCAAGCTGTTCTTGGCTCCTCCTCCTCCAGACTAACTGCCCTGCCTGCAGGTTTCAGGTTTGCATTGCCAGCCTCACTGTGTGTTCAGTTTCAGGAAATCGATGTGCGCTGCGCTGGGTACAGATATAAATACACATCCATACCATATACATATGTGTAATCTCCTAGCCGCTTCATCTCTCTGGCTAAACTCTGACTGATACAAGCACAAAATAATGGAACATGGTATACGTTTTATATACATAGTATGCTACATCTAATTCACTATACACAAATACCTGTGGCCTGGTTGGTTTTGCCTCGTCCAGTCAATATGCCAGGCTTTAGAAAGCCGAGTCCAGGATTTTCTTCAATCCACTTCTTTAAAGCCTTGAAGTGAGAAGCAATGACCAGTTGGACACTACTTGTAAACATTAAACCTTGCATTAATTCAGCATAGAATATATTTACAAAAAGAACATAAAACCGAAGATACAGATAGATTTCAGACTGACAAACCCCAGATTCCAAACAACAACGAATTCCAGTGGTCTAGAACTCTGTGGTTCATTGTGGTTTAATTTGTGAGATGTTTTAAGCGACAAAAAGGCGAAGTTTAGCACGAGGGGTACACAGAATAAGCGGATTTAGCAAGACTTTGAGATGCAAGGTCAAATGTGTAATCAGTTGCATGGTTACATATCAGCAACAGACAACTGCAATTTGAAAATCTGTGTGTTGTGTGTGGGTGCACATGGCTGACCATGTTGGGGTGGGCTGAGCATGTGTGTGTGTGTACATGCATGTGGAGGCCTGGGGTCCTCAGGTGTCATTACTTAGGAGCCCCCCTACCCCTCCCCACCCCTGCTTAGTTTTTTGAGACCGAGTAACTCCTTGGGGATTGCCCAGCAGGCTGACATAGCTGGTCAGCAAGCCCCAGGGTTCTGCTTCTCTCTGCCTCCCCAGTGCTGGGCTTACAAGTGTACACTACCATGCTCAGGTTTTTGTATGGGTTTTGGGGACTGAAAATCCAGGTCCGGACGCCTGCATTTCAAATACTTTGCTGAACTATCTCCCCAGCCCACAATGTGAAATATTTTAAAGTAAATATTTAAAAATGGCATCACTAAAACTAATACCTAAGTACTAATCTAACAAAATGTACACACAACCTCTATACTAAAAATGACAAAACACTAATCAAACACAGCAAAGGGGCTGGAGAGATGGCTGAGAGGTTGAGAGCACTGGCTACTCTTCCAGAGAACCTGGGTTCAGTTCCCAGCACCTACATGGCCTCTCACAACTGTCTGTGACTCCAGTTCCAGAGAATCTCACGCCCCTTTCTGACCTCTGTGGGCACTGCATGCAAAATACTGATACACATGCAGGAAAAACACCCACATACATTAAAAAAACAGCAAAGAACACAAGACAGGTAACCTTCAGTGACTTCTACCTCCTATGAAAAGACTTTGCAGCTTCTTTCTGAAATGCCCAATAAGGCAGATGTAGCGGGACTTGTAAAAGTGACAGTATCCACTGGGCCCTCTTCCTTTCAGTCTCCTGTACGTCACTCACTTTAGACAGAGCCAGCTGCCATGTTGGAGGCACATCTTTGCAAGCCTGCCAACAAACCTGCAAAAGGAGCTGAGAGGTTGACTCTGAGTCCTGAGCTAACTGCGGCCTCCTGAGACCTGGAGCCATAAGCACCCAGTCGTTCCCAGATCCTGGCCCATGGATGTCATATGATAATACATGTTGGTGATTTTCTGGCTCTAGCTTTGTAAGTAATGGACTCTTCAGCAAAAATAATACAGAAACTCTACATAAATGGAGATATACTATGGCTCTTGGCTTGAAGACTCAATATTAATGTCTTTCTTCCTTTATTTATCCACAGATTCAATGCAACTTCAAAAAAGACCCTGGGGGATATTTTTCATAGATGTGGAAAATCTGATTCCAAAATATACACAGTAGACAATGGAATGCAGATTTAAAAACTTAGGGGGAAAAAAAAAGCTAAAGTATTCACATTGCCCCTTTTCAAGCTTATTAGAAAGCTACAGCACTCAAAACTATGGGACAGATTCAAGAATTGATGTTTAAATCATGGCAACAGATGTATAAATCAATAACAAATAGAAATTAGGGGTTGGGGATTTAGCTCAGTGGTACAGCACTTGCCTAGCAAGCTCAAGGCCCTGGGTTCAGTCCTCAGCTATGGGGGGGGGGG